TGCAGTTTTTTTTCTGAAGTGCAGCTTGCACAATAAACAGTTATGACAGAGACTTCAGTAGCTCCTGCTACAGACTCAACTTTAACCAACATCTGGGAGATTCTCTCAAGATGATGTTTATTATCTGTTTTCTGCTCAAGAAGATGCTCAATTGGCTTTCACTGAGTCAGCAAGCAAAGGCATATTTCTCTAGACTGGTCTAATTTGTAATTTTACTGGTAGCTCCTCTTTAAAGAGGCTGCTGGACATTTTTGATTTCTCATAAGCCACTAATGGAAATTCTAAGGGAACTTGAGTTCAGTTAGCCAGCTTCTAACCATTAGATGAAATTAGCTTGCTTTATCTGTGAACCTCCTGAACTTTCTGCAGGATGGCCCCACTGTTGACATCCTGCATGCTGTGGTCTCTCAGCTTGGATACGCAGGAAGATTGTGAGCCAAGCATTTAGACATTGTCTTTCCATCGCTCTGCCCAGTCTGTGATGTTTGTGTGTTATCCATTCCCATCACACCAGCTCCTGCACTTCAGAAAGTCTGGAGATGTATGGTACCTGACAGCCTGCAATTAAGAGTTCAGCCAGGTAGTGCTTTGCCCTTCCTGAAGGATGCAGACTGCCTTCCTTCAAAAGGGCTGTGTGACTCATTCAAATTGCTTCTATTTGTTTTTCTTTATGTAGTAAGTTCTTTTTGATTACTAAGCCTCCCTTTCTGTCCCACTGGAAGCTGGACTAAGGCAAGTTACTTACAGAGTTTAGCCTCAGAGATGCTGTTCTGTTTAATTCATAGATTTATTGCTGATTATCAAAGTGAAATAAGACAATAAAATAATTTTCTTGCCTTGCCTGGCCTCCCCAGGAAGCCCAGGACAGGCACAGGTAGTCCAGGAATCCTGACTCCCACACTAAGTGCAACCTGGGGACATGAAGCTGAGATCTTTGAAGCGACTTGGCAGAAATGTGGGAAGGCTTTCCCAGTGGCATAGTGAGAGCAGCAAGGCTGGAGGGAGGCCCTGCAGTGAAGTGCTTGGGGCAGGAGGTCCCCTGCTGTCCCTGGCACCTCATGGATGGTGCACTGCACTCTCTGCAGTGTCTGGGGACAGGGCAAAGGTCAGCACCCTGGCACCAGCACCTTGGCAGGCTATGCCAAGTAAATCTTGGGCCACATCCGCAGGGGTAAAGGGGTGCAGCCTGGCTTCATTTGCAGCACAGCTTCCCATTTTAGCAGGATGCTTTGCCCTGAAAAAGCTGATCTGCTTGGCCTGGAATCCAGTCAGAAGACAAAGCAATGCGAGCTCTCTGAGGGGAGCTGCCGTGGCACCACAGTGTTATTTTTTGGTGCTGAATATGCTAAAAGGCAGGCCTGGCTTACCAGCTTCAAACACACATCTGTCCCTTTGAAGTAAGACTTGACAGATAAGCTGCTAAACTGACCTGGAGGCCTATGACTGGCAGCCAGCTTCTTTATGTTATAAAAGTCCAGTCTACTTTCATACAAGTTAGATTCTTCCACATCCTTTTCTTGAATTAGGAAGTGTAGAGTTTCTCCCATGGGTTTTGGGACACCTCTTTGTGGTTCTTTCTCAGGGATTGAAAGAAAGAGAAAGAAGTACTCCACGAATAGAAGTGTGGTGAGATACATCAACCTCAACTTAATGTTTCTATTGCTAGATTTAATATAATTGCTTTAACACAATTGCTTTAATATGGTGCACTATATCATTTATGTTATACTACAGTTGCCTATCTTCTATACTGTGTAGTAAGTAATTCCAATGAAGATCTTGTCTTAATAAATGACTCATCTTTTATAAATACATCTGATTTGCCATCATTAAAACTTATGGGGCAAAGTTATAAAGCTTAAGCCATTGACAGTCTGAGGCTAAAATCAGGTCCAGCTGTCCCTTAGCTCTTCTCTCTCAGAATGAGTTTAGAAAGCAATAAGATCCTCTCGGCCCCTTGTGACTCAGCAGCAGGGCTTCTTTAATTAAACTTTGTCCAAAGCTCCCATCCACCTGCTACACCCATGAACTGTCTAAAACATTGGGGCACATGCTAACAGGCAGGCCTATGGAGCACAGATGTGGCCAAACCAACTGCTTCATGTGTATTTGGGTAATTGTGGTGGTGGTGCTAGAAAAAAACAGATGCTTTGCTGAGTAGAGGTGGTGATCACATCATATAGAAAAGTCAGATTTTATCCCTGCTAGGACAGGAAGGCTGAATTGATCTCCTGCCCTTCTGGTAGGGAAGCCATCAATGTCTTGGAATAGCCTAATTTCTAACATATATGGATGCAGGTGGGCACAGCCTGCTTTGAAATAATACCTCTTTTGCACAAGGAGACCTATTCTCTGAAAATCACTCACATAGGCTGTCCCCATCCTGCCCAGGGTCAAGGGCTTCAATGGTGCAGAGGAGTCACTTCTGTGGGTGCTCCTCACCAGCTCCTGATGTGGCCCAGATGAGTGTTGTCCCCACGCAGAGCTGGAGCTACAGCAGCCCTGCAGCACCCATGGCAGGCCCTTTGCCTCCCTGTGTTGGGGTGCCAGAAAGCCCATGCCTTCCCACTCCATGGGCAAGACCCAAGGGCTCGGCAGGAGGGCCAAGTGCCTTGGACCCCGTTTTGCTCCCAAATGAGTTTGGGATGCAGTGGGGCGTTGTCACATTCATTCCCTCAGGAATTTCTTTGGGATGACAGCCACGGTGCAGGGACATCATCCAGAACTCAGTTACTGCATTTGCAAAATCCAGTTTAATGCCTACAAAAACACCTATGCCTAATGAAAACCTACACAATTACAGCAATTGCACAACCATGGCATTGGAGGCCCCACGGCTACAAAGGCTGAGCGCCAGGGAGGGCTGGCCTCAGCTGTGGACTGAAGGTTTCAGGGTGATCCCTCTGTGGGTGCCTGAGGTCTGTGGCCTCCCTCACTCCTACCCTGAATGAGAGCTTTCATGATCCCTGAATGCTTCTGCTGAAGGGAAGAGGCAGCTGCCTCTTGTGCTTGAGTCAGGAGCAGGTGATAGAAAGAGGGGCCCAAGTGCTGTGTAGCTGCCTGGTAGTGCAGAGCTTCTAACCTTCTCTTGTTGGGAATGCTGGGATGAACACTCCTCACTGGTTGCATCCACTTTAACACAGTCCACGGGATGGCTGGGCACAGGGAGTGACCTGTGTCTCCCATGAGCTTTCACCATGTAGGCAGGCTATTAGAGGAGAAGCAGCAAACTAAAGATAGCATGAGAAGTCAGGCTTCACCGTGCCATCCTCACTTTCCCTGGTGAGAGAGCAAGCGCTGAGCTGCCCGGCTCTGGAGCCAGGGGTGAATGGATTTCCTGTTCATTTGTAATGTCTCTGCTACACTGATAGTGGCAATTTGTTAGGGTTAACAAATAGGGCTTCTTCATGAAGCTTGCTGGGAAAGGGTTCTTTACAGAGAGGACTCTCCCCCTCTCCCTCCCCAGCTCTGAAGGGTGTCCCTGCTGGATCTGGGAGAGGCAGATACTAAGGGATTAGTGCACGCTGGAAGGGCTGCAGCCGGAGGCAAGGCTTGGCACCGCCGCCTGGATGAGAGCTCACAACAATGGCGAGCTGCAGCCTGCCAAATCTCAACACAGCAGGCAAGGCTAGGCTCAGCTCTAGCTAAACGGGAGCCGTGTAGGACCCTCCATTTTGGAAGAGCGCTAGCAAGGTCTGGCACTTGGAATTCTTGGCATCCACAAGTGTCTTCGCTCTTTCTTATCCCCTCCTGTTCCCAGTAGATTTTGCATCCTTTACAATGGATAAATTATACATGCAGAGTTTACTCTCCTACCCGAGCTTCGAGAATACCCCAGTGCCAGCCAAGGGAGCTGGTGCATGGGGGAATAGCCAGGAATGTTTAAAATAGTCTGGCCATGTGACTTTGGGGATTGGAAAAGGAAAAAAAAAAAAAAAAGAAAAAAAAAAAAATCCTTTCCCCCAACACTTTAAATGCAAACGAACTTTTTTTTTCAAAAGAGGGAGCCATGAACTGGTGATCTGTGCGCCAGTCACGAGCCAGCAGCTCTGGTTTCCCTCCTGGATGCAGAAGCGGCTGTGTCTGGGCCCTGGGGCAAGGCGCTTGGAGCCAGAGCCTGCACGGTGGGTGGCTGGATCCAACCTGGGCCGAGATGGAGGCGGCTGCCATAGGGAGAGCGGGCAGAGCCTTCCTGTCCCTCCCACTTTGGCTGGCGCTGAATGATTAAAACTAAGGGCGGGTGTACCTGCACTTGTACATACAGCTTGTTCTGTGTCAGCTCTTTGTAGGGAGAAAAGCCAGCCATGAAAAGGGAGACTCAGGCGATATGGATCTCAGTTTGGACGTGGAACCATCTGGGAAAAGTGGGGTGCTCAGCCCCATATACTCCTCCCTGTTCAGCTGCCCACGCACACCCTGTTCATCTGTCCCTGCATCTCCCTGCCTGTGGTGGCCCCCACTGCATCCATCTCACCATGTCTGGTCACAGGAGCAGCCCCCACAACCCCCAGGGATAGTGACAGGGACAGGGATAGTGTTCCCCAATATTCCAGCATCGCCTCATGCCCAGGGTCGACTGCTGCTGCTCACCCCACTGCTGGGGGGCAGAGGGACAGCAGCATTAATAAAGATTTTAATGATGGCTACCGGCTTGTACTACAAGCATCTGAGTCTCATTTGAATTCAGGCAACTTTAAGCTCTTTTGGCAGTATAAAAGGGCCTGAAAGTGGATTCCAGTCACATGTGCATTTGCTTTTAGACTCCAGTGCAGTGCCAGCGTGATGTAAAGGGGCCTCCGCGAGCCGGAGAATCAGGCCCTGCATATTTTACACTCTTTTATAGCTTACTGTGACTCTGCTTATCTCTAACAGTTAAAAAACGAGTGCCAATGGTCTACACGCTGGATACGTATCATGCAAAACCAAATATAGCACGGCTCAAGAACACTCTTTGCATAATGTACATATGTATTTCATTTATTTTTGTAAAAATTCTGCTTAAGCATATGGAAGGGAAGGAGTGATAACACTGCCTAGAGGCAGATATAATGTGGTCAGGCAATGTGCAAGCTTCCTCACACAGCTCGAGGAATGTGCCTGAGTTTGAAGTTGTTACATGAGTCCTGGACAATTCCTTAGCAGTGAGAAGCAAGTAGGTCATACAGATGACTTTGTGACAGGGGTCTTCATTCACATCAGATGGCAGAGATCTTCCAAATGCACTTCACCTGGGGCTTATGTTTTCTAACCCAGAACTATGGATGTGCAAGACTCTGGCTGAAAATAACCATGTAGATCCATATTTAGGAGCCTGCATGCATGAATTTTTCTTCAAACTTTTGGCTTGCCACATCAACGCTGTCCTACCAGTAATTCTACAAATCCTCTGGCTTATATTGCATAGCACAACCACAAATGCCAATTGCAAAAAAAAAAAAAAAAAGAAGAAAAAAATCAAAAAGAAAAGGTAAGCCATTAAAAGAAAAAAAAAAATTAACCATATTTAATAAAATTTAAAGCTCCCTGTCCTTTCCTGGCAGGGACAGCCAGACAGGACTGACCCCAGTGCCTGCCCCTGAGAGATGCTGGGCTCCTGCCAGTGCTTCAAACAAGAACTCTGCTTTGTTCATCGTAAAGTGTGCCTCTGTTCATGCTTCTTTTTTCTACTTTCCTTGTATAAAGACAAAATTACATTTTTAAAAATCAGAGAGTCTTCTGCTACAGATTGGGGTAAACCACTCGTCAGCTTTAACTTGGGCATTCATCACCTGTCAGCCACAGTGGGAATCACTGGGACCTGTTTGACACTGCATCACACATACCAGCTCCTGGATGCTTGGCCAAAGCCAGCCCTGAGCCTTCTGGGGCCCTTGGCCAAACCTTGTGGCCTTGCTGCGTTGAGGGGATCTCCCAGTCCTGCTGCAGTTCCTAGTAAGCAGGAAAGCTGGGAGGACTGAACTGGCCAGCATCTCACTTCCCATTAATAATCTCTCCTGGATCTACCCCTGATTTTTACAGGTGCAAATGACAGGCAAATTAAATACTTTAGCACTGGCTGGTGTTTGCAGATCCAGCAGTGTGTGAGGTTCTTTGAAGCTGGCATGCAGAAGGGAGCTGCTTGTACTAGGGTGAACAAAATGTAAGGGCTGATCTTCCAAAGAGGTTGCACCTTGGGTGGGGAAGATTCTCAGACATAATCTTGATTTCATGTTTAAGTTAATTTTGTTCAGGAAAACACCAAAGCATGTATTTATCTGTAAGTGGATAATTTAGTGTAATTCTGGATAATTTAGTGTAGCTCATCGAAAAGGGGTGCTTTGCTAAACAGGGGCTGTAAGAACACACATAAGCTAAACTGAAGTCAGTGGGCTTTACTTCCGAGAGACCTGGTGTTTGAAGCCTTGGGATCAAGATCTAAAGGGCTTGATGGAGAAGGGAAGGATGAAGAAATAGAGATTACAGTGACACTAACGTGGTTACTCATGCACACAAGTGAAGGACATGCATTTTACCAATGGATTTGTGTAGATTTTGGCTAACAGGCTTTGTTTTAGGAATTGGAGGATCTGTGGTAACAGCATTTTCTTACTGGCATGCAAACACTTTCTGCTAAGAGGCTGTTTTGTAGAAGGAATTAGACTGGTCTGAGAGAGACAAGGTTGGAGCAGAGATGTTTTAAGAGGTCAAAGAGCTATCAGGGTATGGACACAAGAGAGGCAGTAACATCCAACAAGATACCTTTTTCTGTGTCGTGCTCCCCCTTTCTACCCTGAGCCAAAGCTTAATCTAATTTTTTTTACTGGTATAAAGTGGTTTGCTTAATATAGTCTTATGCAGCTGTAACTGAGAATAAAATTAGATCTTGGTGTGCTAATTGGGGCCCTGACCCAGAGGAGCAGTTAAACATACGCTTAGTGTGAAGCAGGGGAGCTACTCCACCTGAGTCAGTAAGGGTATGCCTAAGCTTGAGGTTAAGCATCTTTTCAAGTATTTGGAGCAGAAGTTCACAAGAGCTGGTTTCCAACCTCCTCCCATTTTTGCTTGGATACCTCAAAGCTCCAAACATTTTCATCTTAAAATAGTGAGTGTTTCACAGGGAACTATTATCATTTTCCTACCTTCCTTGGAGGAAAATTGCCCTCCAAATTAAGGGGTGAATTTCATTTTAGGAGAACCGCAAGACAAAGGTGTCTCTCCTTTACTGACCTTCATTTTGGTAGCAGTGAGAGTTCCTGGTTGCTCCTTCGGTGGAGGAATTAGAAGGAGGTGTTTGTAGGAAAGTCTGCGGTTCACTGGCTTGCAGACTGTAGAAGACAGAGGGACTGGGTTTTAATTTAAACTATCAATTGGAGGGAAGCAATAAAACATAAAAGATTTACTTGCCTACAAACCTCTGAAATGTCTTCTATTTTTAGAATTCTCTGCAAATGCTTTTCATGCAAATGTACACTCACGTATACGTACGTATGTATATCTCTGTTATGTAAATCAACTCTTGATTTCTTATTCACTGTGTTAAGGAGCTTAAAAAGGCTTTGGCATTTCTTTTACTCTGATGTGATTTTTATTTTTAAAGAAATAGTTAAACCTGCGTACCATACAGGTACTTTTAAAGCAGCCTGACTCTGATAGCTGTATTCAAGCTGAATACAATCTGGTTGCCCCCTGAAGTACTTCCCTAAATACTGTCAAACTTTTAAGTGCTTGCTTAAAGCTGATGCTGAAGTATCTGGCTGAACAGAGCCTTATCCATTGATCCAGGGTGTTTGCTCAGCACCTGGAGAGCTTGAGGTGGGACAGAGGAAGCACAAGGAATTGGCTCAAGCTCCTTGGCCTGCCAAAAAACACGTATCTGGCCCACAGAGCCATAGAAGCCTTTACCTGCAATGTAGGGTCACACTGAGTCCCGTGTCCTTGGTATGTCTGATCCTCTACCCACTCGTCCAGTGATGGCACTAGTCAGGCAGCTCTGGGAGTATGTCTCCTGGAACAAAACTTCTACTCTTTAAGTCATCATGAGTCTCCATCCTGCTGGCAGTGAGTCAGGAGATGACTACCATGGACCCCTTCAGTGCAACACCACCTTTCATAAAGTCATCAAAATCCAGAGGGAAGCCAAGAATTCCTGAGGCTGGATTGCATTGCAGTGTGCCCAGTAAGCAAAGATGTACATTACATGTATGCCTAAAATGGAAACACGAGCTGGTGCTTGCTTCAAAGGCAGCAGCCAGCAAATTCTCTCTGGAGACCAAATGCTCGTCCCAGCAGACAGCTCTACTGGCTGAGAACAAAGGTGAGAGGCAGGCCCCAGCCTGCAGGTGCTGCAGAGCAGCAGCCAGATCTACTGCAGAATATCTGCAAATAAAGTGGTTGGATCCCACCACATCTGTAAGAGAACTAAAACATTCAGCAATCAGAAAACATCTTGGCAAATATTTTTTTCCCCCCTGTAAGTAGAAGGATGTTTCCTAGTAGCAGCTTCTGCCTGTGCCCGTTGTCAGCTGCTTTGTGTGACTTCCCTTTTTACTTTAAGCTGTCTGTACCAAACACCAAAGGAAATGATGTGGGATTATTTTACACCCAAGTTGTATATCCCATAAAAAAGGGAGCACCCTGCTGTGGCATGCAATGGATTCTGTACAGTGGCAATGCATAGAAAACAGACACTGACTTTGAAAAGTAACACACTCCAGGGAGTCACTGCTCTCCCTGAGGAAAAAACATTTACGGTGCACCAGCTCCATTTGTTCCAGGGATGTTTCTAACCTGTTGTCTGGATTTTAATGCAGTTCAGGCTGTCACATCACACCAAGTTATAAGATGCCTTTAGTGAATAAGAACAATGGGCTCAAAGGATTGGGTTTTGATGGTTGTAAATATTGTTTATTGATGAAGATTAATGAAGGAAGAGCCAATGTGGAGCAATCAGGTAACGGAGGCAAAGCAGTGATGTGTCTTTGCCACCGATTGCCCTTCTAGAATACCAGGACCAATTGCCCCTCAGCCTTGATTTCCACTGTGGTCTCAGTGCTGAGCTCCAGCCAGAGAGGTGAAACGGAGCAATTTCCATATTGCCTGCATTCCCTGAATATTCATTCCTCTCGCTCAAAAAGGAAAAGAAAAAAAGTAATGGAAAGAAGAAAGCAAGCCTCACATTTTCTGTGGCATCTCAAGCTGGGGGGAAAGGCCAAGATAAATGGATACTTTCAAGGTCATTAGCTTGTGGAGCTCACAGTTTGTATTGCCCTGCCAGAGCCTGGCTTGGAGAGGTTATAAATGTTTTTCGTCTGGAGCAGGGAGCTTATTGTTGGAGTTTGGATCCTCTGCTTGGCTGACAGTGAAAAATCCAAACTCTGGTGGAGCAGGGCCCCCCTCTCTGCCCAGGAGGTCTTTTGTCTATTCATCTGTAGCAGAACACACAGGGAATTAGATGTGAGTTTGAACATATTGCGATGCCTCACCGCTATGGTTGCCACCACCAAAAATGTTGCTGGGCAGCTGACCTTCCTGGCAGCCCACCAAGAGAGAAACAAGGTCAAGTGCTGTTTGCTCTTCAAGAAAATTACATAGAATTTATATCCAGTCCACTCCAGCCTAACCAGCCAGCAGACCCATGGTCTGTGGAGAAGAGACGGGAAGGAACAGAGTCAGAAAATAAGGGTGTGGGGCAAGGCACCATCTGCTGGTTGCGTATTTTGGGGGTACCCTGAGCCAAGGCAGGGATGTGCCTTTTGCAGCTGCAGCAAGTGCAGCACTGCAGCAGCTGAGCCCACCTGCTGACATGCAGGTGTCTTCTCCTCACTGCTGCTCCCAGGCCTGCCGAAAGTCACTGCTTTTGTTTGTCCAAGTAAATAACCCCTGCACCTGGCTCCCTTCCGTACTGCTTGGGGCCCCTGGGGGATTTGGAGGGGCAGGGGCACAGCCACAGTGGCAGTGAAACGCAGCCTCTGAGGGGGAACTGGCGTCATCCTGCCTGGCTATCTACATCTCTCCTGCCTTTCCCCATTGCTTTGCCACCCAGCAGTGACACAGTGCGGGAAGGGTGTGTGAAAGGGCAGACATCCTTCAATCTCACTGCCCTGCCTTGAAGGCTGCTGCATTATTCTACGTAAGACTGGAGTTCTTCCTTCAAAATCAGGTTTCTCCATTCTCCCAGGTGTGGACTAGGTTTACTCAATGTATCAAGCTGCCCCCAGCATCTCAGGCCAGATGGCTTCCAGGGGACTCATAAATGGTGCAGATAAATTGTAGTTTGGGGTCAATGCCACTAAATTTCTAGCCACTGAAATGGCTAGAAAATTCCAGCTCTTTGGTGCACAGTCAGGCCAGATGTTTTATAGCCTCTGGTGGAACATCAGTAGAAGTATTTCATTGTGGTAAAGGTCAAAGATGGACTCTAAAATAAGCAGAGCCAGCATTTTTGATGGCTCTCCAATTAGAGGAATATTTGTTGGCAGAGAATATCTGCAGAACAAAAACTTCTCACTCAGAAACAAGAGTTTTAGCAGTGGCCTCTGAGAGCCACCAGGCCTCCCAGGCCTCGTGTTGGCATAGCGGATCTACAAGGATTTTATTTTCTTCTTCCAGGGCATGAAAGCCCCTGATACATGGAGTCAAACCCCTCTGCCTCTTGACTGTACAGTGCTGAAGAGGTTCCCTTGGTGGTTAATCACAGGGATTGCTGTTCATCGGTTCCAGGTCTTGACACTGAAGCAATGTCTGGCATTTCCATTGTTTCTCCTTCCCATGCCCCACCAAGCCCACAGGTCTGGCTTGCCTGCTGCCTGTACTGGTTGAGGAGCAATGGGAGACATTTTTCCAAGCCCTTTCTCCTCACCACCTCCAAGAGCCTCCAAAAAATTGCCTCAGCACAGAACAACAAAGATTTTTTCTCACTTAGCCGCAGCAGGATCTGCAGGACAGATGGACTGAGCGGAGATTTAAGTGCCAGGTGCAAGTCCATTTTGCTACTGAATTTATGCCCAAGATAATATTCAGTGTAAGTTTTAGTTTACATAAAGATCCATCCCCAAGCATATATAAACTAGAGTCTGAAATAATATGATTTGAAAGTAGGCAGGGCATGAATTAGCAGTGCTCTTCCAAAGATATTTCTGAAATGGCACACAGAAATACTGAGAGCAGATGTTAGATTGCTTTCGGAGGACAAAAATGGGTCAGACCTTATAGCAGAGTTTCTAACTACGGTGTAGTCTCTGTTGTCCTATATTTCTCAGGATGAAAGTGAGGAACATTAACGCTTCTGCTCCAGGTGTCCCAAACCACTGGAACTGAGGCAGTGCTGGTATGTGTGAGAGGAAGCCATTCTGCCTTTCTGTCTGTCATCTTCAGAAAAATAAGCTCTCTCCCCATGTGAATCAGGCAAAAGGAGAATGGTCAGCCCAGATGTTGCTGTCCTAAGAATGAGAGTTTGGGGAGCAGACAGATCCCAGGAAGCATGGGATGAAGCCCAAACACCTGCAAGTGCTCTGGCTGTGGTGTTACCCTGTGGCCAGGGGCTGGAAGGCAAAGAGGAAGACTCACAGGACCTGTTCAGCACTAGGCATGGACAACAGACCTGGCAGCTGGGGCAGGAGCCATGCTGTGGCAGGAAACCAGGGACTAAGTGGCAGGTGTGCCTGCAGCCTGGGCAGGGCTGACCTTGGCTGAGGTGGAATGGATGGATAGCCATGAGGCACTGGCAGGACCTCCCTGACAGACAGACCAGCCTGAAACACGAGGCCTCTGGATGGGAGCCAAATCATTTGCCATCACCTTGTCAGTGTCCTGGGATGACCTGGACACTGAACCACTTCAGGCTGACTTAGTGGCTGGAGAGCCTGTAACTCCTGGGACAAATATCTTACCATCACTTTAACCTGCTTGGTTTTGTGAGCAGAAAGGCAGCAAACAATTCTGTGGTTTTGTTTTTTTTAAAAAGGTTTGGTCTTTTTTCAAGTTGTGATTTCCTGTTATAGAGGGTTTTCCTGAAGAATTGCCTTCAAGTCATCTGATGCTTGTTGGAAAGGGAGGCTTCCCTGTGTAGCAGTGGTTAAAAGACAGTCATGTTCCCTGCATATTGCCAAGGTCTGTATCACTTTGTGCTGGCTGCAGGCAGCAGCAAATCAACCTGTGGCTGTAGCAGCAGAAGAGTTACAGGAGAGGGGAAAAAGTAAGCATGGGCAGTGCACCTATGATTCCTGCTAGCAGGTGCTCAGGACAGCAGAAAGCAGGCAGTGCCACTTTAACTCTGCTGAAAACACCAGCAAAAATCTCCCTGCCTCCCCACACAGCACAGCCTTTGGTTTCAGTACTGCTGTCACAAAAGCAACTGGGACAGGAGGGCTGTGCTTCACAGGCATGGCAGAAATCCCAGATAAGGTCTAAGAGAAAGGACACCCATTTCTCTGAGTGCCTGCAATGCTGGGACAGGGCTGCGGGAATGGCTGGACTTGGTGGGGCTGTGCCAGGCTCTGGGGTCACAGCCCGATGGCTCCCGGCAGTGTTTTAGACTAACAAGGACCAGCCTGAGGGACCAGCATCTCCAGAGCAACAAGGGGAACAATGGCAGGAACGCTCCCTGGCCCTGACCAAGTAGATTGTAAGTCAAAACAGGCTATCACACCCAAAGTCAAGTCAAGGGATTTTTTAGTGCCAGGGGAAGGCTTACTGGGCTTCATCCTTTAAATATATGGACCTAAAATATATTAGCAAGATACCAGTCAGAAAAATGCCAAAACCCAGCCGAAATCTTACTGCAAAATACTTACCAGCAACCATTAATGCAAAATAATTCAGCCATTCAAAACCACTTGTTCTTCACATCAGTCCTTGATTAATAGAAACTTAAGTTTTGTTTGTTTGTTTGTTTGTTGTTCTGGGATTAGCTGTTTTACTTTAAAAAAGCACAAGCCTCTCAAAAGATAAATGGAGGTGACATGCTGCAAATGTTCACCCAACCTTCGCTTTTTTTTAAAAGGCTTAGATAACTTCAGGATGGAAACAGGAACATGGTGGGTGTGCAAGGTGGCAACATGGTCACAGCTGTGCTGGACTGGAGTGAGGGCATGGGCATAGCTGGGCTTTGGTGACTCATAATGAAGCAGGAGGAGGTTTTGGGTTTCCCTCTTATCCTAAGACAACATCCCAGGGAGGTGACACCAGGTTCTGAGGGCTCTGGTGGAACAAAGGTTGGATGTGCTGCCCATCTCAGTGAGAGGAACAGAAATTAAACTTCATGAACTTGAACAAAAGACTAATCTCTATGAGGAGAGAGGGGAGGCTCAGAGAGAGGAACTGCAGACAATTAGTACTCTACAGTCTCTCACAGAGTCATTAATGAGGGATAATATCCAATTAAGGAGGAGGATGGGAAATCTGGGGAATGCCTGTATATATTCCAGTAAATTGCTCATGTCTCCTCCCTATTCCCCTCCCTAACTTTGATGATTGTCTAAACAGGAAAGAAATGTTCAAGTGAAATATAGTTCATGGAAATATTTAGAGCCCACAGGTAGGTGGCTTGCTGCCCAGACGTCCTGGGAGCGCGTCTCTGCTCACATGCCTCATCAGAGATGCACACATTGAAGGGTGTGCGAGAGGGAGCCTAAAAGGTTCTGGCAATGATTTAACTCAATTAAAATCTGTGGGAGGGTTCAGCTTCACATCATGAAGCAAACACAGGATGAGTAACTGATACAAAACTGAAAGGCACTTTACTTGTGTCTTTTGTCTTTAGGATGGCAGAAGAGGGATAATATTCCTCCATTGACAGGGTAAGGCTGGAGCTGGAGAGACTCTTGTAAAGCACTGTGGATTTTTTTTTTTGTCAAAAATGTCATCAACAGCTTGGAAATGCAGATTTCCTTCCAGCAAGAAGTATTTTTTTTAAAAAAAGCCCAACTTTCTATCCATCTCAGCATTTCTTTAAATGGAACTGTTAGTCCTGTTGATGTGACCTAAATCAGCAATGTCCTGCATAAGAAAGAGAAATAACTCTTTCTTATGTCTTATGTCCCCAGTGCCTCAGAAACACTTGACTGGATTGACAGAGTGAGAGTCTGTTTCCAGAGAGTCTCCAAAAAAAATAGTAGTTTTCAGAAGTTTGAATTGTCTGGGTTTGTGTTGTTTTTTTTTTTTTGGTTTTTTAAGGGGCATGGAATTTTAGAATAATTTTATTTTTAAGGCAAACCCCCCCAGACATTAATTCTGCCAGCAGTTTTTTAGCACTTCCCTTAAAGTGATTCCCAAAGTAGTTTGAGGAGTAAAGCTTTATTTGTTAAAGTCTTTGCATGTGCTTAATAGGGTGAGAGCTGGAAGAACTCCTACAACTTTTCCAGACCTTTGGAGCTTCTTTGAAAACAAGTAAGTCGCTTGTCTGCTCAAGCTTCATGACTAAATTCTCTCCCCAAGGTTACTGCAAGGAACAGAGACCTTAACATGTCTGCATGTACAGATGGGTTCTGAGCAGCACAAGCTTTGAAGAATGGGACTTGCTCTTGCTGTTGTTCCGTTTCCCCATAAATGAATAAATAGATAAATAAATAAATAAATATACACACAATTATATAAAAAATCCCTCTCAGCCCTATTGTATGCAATCAGTGGCTATTGCATCAGTGAGTGTTACTGATCCCATTTTTCCCAGGGCAGGGAGGGCCCTTAATGCGCACAAAGGCACAATGCAGAGAAGATTAATATCAGCTTCTGCTTTGCCATTCTAAGCCCCTGATAACCGTAAATAATATTCTAGCAAAGATCTTGATGCATCGTGATCTATTGTGTTGCAGCGATGATGCTGCTTGTTATGTCTTTAGCAGTGATTTATCATCCTCTGCAATGACACAAATCATGGATGGCTCATGGCACTCCAGGATGTATGATCTCTTAGTGGTGGCAGTGATGAATCCTGTGCTTAGATCATAACATTTTGAAACCTGGGATGTGGAGCTGATTCTTTGCTTTTTACTTCTAGAAGGTACCTAAAGCAATGAAAACCTCTCTTTGTTAGCAATATGTCAAGCAATGCATCTCCCCTTTTCACAACATCTCAATATGGTTAATTCTGGCTAAGACTTGAAGGGTTATCAGGCAACTCTGGATTACTCACTCCTTTTGCTTTTCCCCTACTACCTCCTAACCTTTAATGTCCTCCTCCTGCATTCTGGTCCCAGGGACATATTTTGAAATTCTGCTGCATGTATAATGAGTATAAAATGTTCCTCTAGGAGCTGGAGAAAGCTCAGATGTTTGGGTACAGTAGGCCCATTCCGACACAACAAGCCTACGCTCAAGCTGTGATCCCAACAGAGAAGAAAGCGTTTCAGGTCTGAGCTGCTCTCATCCAGTGAGCTACTGCCATATCAGCTCTGCTCCGAGGAAGTGGAAGTACTCGCTTTTATTTATTTTTATCCTGTGGCATCAAAACGCCCCTGGGTAAGAGAGGACAGAATGGGGAAGGGGGGGGATGATGAAGGCTCTTATTCTTCACTGCTGGGTTCCTGCTCTGAGACAATGTGCATTTCTTTTGGGCAACATGTAGATTACTGTGAGAATACTGGTTTACTGGTTGGTAAAACAGACATGAAAGCCAAAGGTAAAGAAAAAAAAAATCCAAAAAAAAAAAATCCAAACAGATGATGGGAGGCCAAATGCTGCCCTTAGTGATGAGCACCTTAAGCACCTGACAAGCTGCTCTGGCTGTAGTAGAGGGGCCCTGCAGGCTGCTTTCACCTTGGACACAGCTGGAAACCGGGGCCTAGCATCACTCCAGCAGCCAACACTCCCCGCTGGGCTCAGACTGAAGTGAAGAGGCCCCTCCTGCCCTCGTCTCCTGTTGCTCTGCCTCACCCCAGAAGCGCCAGAGGTATCAGCACCCCACCCCAGGGAGGTAAGGTCAGAAGAAAAGCCAGGGCTGTAAGGCAGCGATGCTGTCCTGCACTCACAGGTGCCGGAGCCCTGAGCCCGCCGTTCTTCGCGGGGGTGCGGCTGCACAGCGGGGCTGTGGGCGCTGCCGGCACTCCGCTACCGGGGGAGCGGCTGGGGCATCTGCTTTGAGGGCTGCAGGAGATTCAGGCAGGGCGGCTGAGGCGCCCTGTGCCCTCGGCTTCACTCTCAAAAGCCTGGAGGCTCCAAGATGGCTCGTCACCACTGGATGGAGCAAAAGAGGTGGGCGAAGACAGCCAAGGAAGCCTCCCGGGATGCTGGGCTGGCTGGCTGCCTGCCCTGGCCGCGGCCCCGGCTCGGCTTCCAGGGAAGCTGTTAGTAACTCGGAGCCTGCTCTCCGCTCTGCTCACGGGGCCGGGGCCCCTCGGGTGCCCCCGCCGCTCGCTGGCTCGCCAGCCCCGCTCTGCCACAGCTGCTGCCGCCGGCCGCCAGCTCTCCAGGTGCTCCACCGGCTGGAGACACCCCAATGGCCAAGAAGGCCTCGGCGGAGGGACCAGCGGCGGCACCCGGCTCGCTCGCAGTGCCCAAGCAGCAGACTGGCTCAGGGAGGGAGGGGGACCGGCTCCACAGCCTGAAGAGTCCCCCTGCAACTTCCTCCGGGCTGCAGGAGCCGGGCAGGCTGTTCCCGGAGCCCCTGGGCACTACGGCCCCGTGCCCCGGTCGGGCACAGGGTATCTCGTCATGAAGGCCACGTTTGACCGTGCAGCCGCAGCACCCAGAGAAAGATAATTTCCTGTGGTTTCAGTGTACTGCTGAAGCCTGGGGAGGCGACTCCCGCTGTCCAAATTGGGAAGGGGACGTGTTGCAGGCAGCAGCAGCACCCAGGGGCAGCAAAGGTGAGGAGTGGGAGGTAGGCACACCACCCCAGAGAGAGGTCTGTCCGCAGGATTTCGGCACTTGCCACCACTCCGTCTCTGGAGGACAAGACCAACCTGATTGCTTCAAAGCTGTAACATGGCCAGACTTGTGGCATTTTGCTGATACACCTTGTTGGTATCAGAACGGACATTTTTTCTTGTTTCTTCCATCAAAGAAGTCATAAGCCAGTCAGTTAATGTAAAAACTCGTTTCACAGGATAACAGGGCCCTATTTAAGGAAGGACTCGGGGTTTTTTGTTTTTGTTTTGTTGGTTTGGTTTTTTTTTTGTAAAACTTAGCAAAACAAGAACTGTAATTATCAGCCTGAGACAGCCAAGCATCATGGAAAATTCTACCTCAAATAGTCAATGTTCAGCCAAGTTGGAGTATAACAAAGGAAGATTTTAGAATAGAAAATCTCGGGCAATGGTGCTTACGGTCTTCAGTACTCATTAGTTGCCTGGGTTTTCTGTAATGCTGTAATTCATTCTATCATACCATGATTATGATACTGCTTCAGTAGGCAGTGCTGTCCTCTAGGAAGAGAGTTATACTCAGCATGAAGCAAATATATCATAATACTTTTTAGGTCACATACACAGGTATAAAAACATAGCAGCCTTTCAACCCAAAACCTTCTTTACTAATTACTAATCTGAAATATCTTGCTTCAGAAAAGGAAACATCTCCCAGTACTGTGCAAAGGTGAGAGAAACCATTTGAGATGCACCTTGTCATGGTAGCATATTTCTTCAGTTCCCAGTGTATAAACATGGATGGCAGTGAAATTTTTAACAGCTAGGATTCTACATACATACATACATACATACAATAAATTTATCACATATAATTCTCTGTGAATATAAATATGTATTTGGAACTTAGATGCGCCAAGA